CGGGCGGCCGGCGACGCGAAGGGCGGGGGCCGGAGGGGGGCCGAGGTGACCAGACGCAGAGGGGGGACTTGAAAGTCCCCGAACGCTGACTTTTCTCCTGCACTTTGACCCCTGCCCTCTGCCCTCGGAAACCCTGACACCCAGCCCCCTCGGCGCCTCTTCCCCAGGCGTTGGGCCCAGGGCGGGGCTCCTGCCCCTGACCTCCCCGTGCCTCTGGGCACCCCACTTCCTCCTGGCACCTTAGCCCTAGGCTCCACTGGGCCCTCTACCGGCGTCTCCCTCTGGGCTCCCCTCCCGGGTTAGCCCTGCTGCCCTGAGCCCCCACTTCCTCCTTATCCCTGGGCTGCGCACTCCGGGGAGCACAGCATCTCCCAGGCCCCAGGCCCGGCCTTGGCAGCGGTCACTTTCCCTGCCTCCTCGGTGTCCTGTCCCACCAGGGCCCCTTCCTGGCTTCACCGCACTCCAGGCTGTCCCCACCCTGGCGGCCCCGCCTGCGCTGTCACCTTGGGCTGACTCTCCTCTCCTCCCCAAGTCACTGCCGTGGTTCTGGGCTCCCCCCGCTTCTGATTCCCATCTGCCTTGTCTTTGGTGGGGCCGGATGGAACCCAGGGCTAAGCAAGGGTCCCCAGCCGGTCCTTTCCAACGCAAGCTTCAGCAGCCACTCTGGTCCCCTTCCCTGTCCCCTCATGTTCCTGTTTCCCTTCGCCCTGTGGGACCCCCTCCTACGCCCGTGGGGCAGGGAGCCCTGGTGTCTTCCAGTCTCCCTCAGTCAGGAGCAGGGTGACCGTAACTGCCCCAGCCCCGGGCACCCAGCAGCACGACAGGCTCTGAGGACCCTCCTGGCAGACCGGGGGGCCCCGGGCAGGAGACAGCAGACAGACACCACGCAGCCAGTCACCAGGACTGGAGCAGAGCGGCACCCGTCCCCTCTGTGCTTGGGGCTCCGCAGGCTGTTCTCCAGCCTGGGTGTTTTCCCTGCCTCCTCCCGGGAGGCCCAGCACCCACGGTGACCCAGTGACCGCTGTCCACTTAAGCAGCACACAGATTCCATCACACTTGTGGAGTCGGGCCGCCAGAGCCGGGGGCAGCTCTCTGCTGGCCTGGTCTCAGCTCTGCTAACCCTGGACACTGGTGACCCAGGGCACTGCCTACCTTGCAGCTGGGAGAAAAGGAACAAAACCTTCTCTCTCTCTCCGTTTTTTCTTTTTGGTACCGGGGACAAAGCTCAGCTCAGCCCAGCCTGAACCCAGGATCCTCCTGCCTCGGCCTCCCAGAGTGCTGGAGGGAGGTCAGGTGCCCAGGTCCCACTTCCACCTAACACACAAGGCCATGGCCAGCTCTCCCACCACTGTGTGGCCTCTGCTGGATGCAGGCGAGGCTGGAGCAAATCAGCAGATTTATTGAGGCAGCAGCGGCATGGGGTTGGGAACAGGTCAGGCCCGCCCCTGGCACTTAAGCTCAGGCTGGCACAGGACGCGCCAGGCAGCACTGAGGCAGGCCCTGCAGTCGGTCAGTCAGTCTGCAGCCAGCAGCCCTTCTCCTCCACCTCCTTGGTCACCACCAGCAGTACCTCGCACAGCCCTCGGGCCAGGGCAGCAGCCACGAAGGCCCTGGGTAGAGAAGTGGGACTGTGGCCAGCCAGTCCCCCTCCCTCTGCAGGGTGGGGCAAGGGTGAGGGTGCGGCTCCAGCGAGGCCCCTCCTGTCCCCCTTCCGCTCACCTGAGGCCGTCCTCATCCCCGAGGGCCTCCGGGGCCCGCAGCTTGGAGTCCAGGTTGTAGTAGATGCCGTCCACTTGGCGCAAGGCCACCCAGTGCCGCCGGCGCAGTGGCAGGGACAGCAGCCCCAGCGACACCGGGGAAGGCAGGTTCAGGATCAACCCCAGCACCTGGGGCAGGGCCAGCTGGGACAGGGGCCTGGGAGGAGGCAAGGCCCAGCATCACGCCCAGTCCGGCACAGGCCTCGGTGGCCCTGGGCGGCTGTTTCCCTCCACCCTTGCATCCACGGACCCCACCCAGCAGCTTCCTCCTCACCACGCCCCATCCATGCCATGGTGTCTCAGCCTCCCAGCCATCTCCATGCCGCCAGCACCCGACCTCCCGTCTCCTGTCCCCCACTGTCACCCCTGGCTGCCAGACACAGCCAGCCCTCGCCAGGTCCCCACCCATGCTGCCCGTTCACCATCGTCCAGCACCTACCCGTCCGGTCACCAGTCATCTAGGAGGCACCCTCTGCCTACCGATCCATTCACACTCCCAGCACCAATACAGCCAAGCTCTGGGGCCAGTGACCAGCATCCGCCCATCACCCATAGTCTCACTAGGATGGTCACGGGGTCCTGCTGGGGGTCCATCTTCCCCACCGTTGTGTCAGCCCCTGGGGACCACACAGCCCTTCCTGCCTCCCCTGGCCTGCACCAACTGCGTGGCCTCACCCGCCTCCCGGGTGGGCCCAGTGCAGGTCCTACCTCCTGCGGTCCCACCACACGGCGGCCAGGCCCAGTCCCTGCAGGGCTGCCATGATCACGTTGACGTCATAGTTGCCGGTTCCCAGGAGGCTGCGGTGGGGGTTCAGCCGGGAGTCGGGGGCCAGCCTAGCAGAGGGGTGAAAGAGCCCAAGCTGGGACTGAAAGAGGCCTGGCCTTTTCCACAGCGGGCTGTTCCCTCTCCATGGCCCACTGAGCTCATGAGCACTCCCGTGCTGCCCACGGCTTCCCCAGAGCCAGTCCCTCAGATGCAACTCCTGAGGGACTGTCCTGTCCTCCAGGCGGCCTGGGGTCCTCTCTGGGCTTCCCCAGTGAGCTGAGCCTGCAACGATGACAGGGTCCACATCACCTTGCATGTGTGGCATGGGGACTGGACCCGGGCCTCGAGCATGGAGCCAAGGGCTCTACCACGGACCCACACTCCCAGCCTTGTATGTTTTATTTTCAGACAGGGTCTTGCTAAGTTGCCCAGGCTGGCTTTGAACTTGTGCTCCTTCTGCCTCAGCCTCTCTAGCTGCTGGGATCACGGGTGTGCGTCACCTCGCCTGGCATCACTGTTTTCACGCCATCTGCTCTCACTGGGGCCAACACTGCCCATCCCCAACCCACAGCTCCTCAGGGCGGCCCGTCCCGGGGATAGAACCTCCAACTGGCATTCTCGGTCTGCTCTGTGGCCTCGGTGTTGGCCCTTCCCAGCCACCTGTCCCCAGCCACCCCCTGTATTCCTGTGTCCCAGGCTTCCCTCCAGCCCTGCTTTCTGGCCCACTCTGCAGCCAGTCTCTCTGGGCCTCCTGCTGCTGCTGGAAACAACTGGATCTTTGTTCCGGGCCTGGGCCCTGGGAGGGCAGGTGGGGGAGGGAAGTGTGAGCCTCATTCTGTGTGTCTGTTCCCTCCCACAGGGCTCCTGTCTCACTCAGCTCTGGCCCCAGCATGGGCCTGGCGTGAGACTCGATGGACCCCTATTTTGAATGAGAGGAGATGAATAAATTCTAAAAATAATCAGCCTGAGGATTATTAGGGAGCTGCAGGAGGCTGGAGGCAAGAGAGGGTGGAGGAAGATCTCTCTGGGGATTTGGGGACACTGGCTGGAGGGGAAAATCTGGAGGCAAGGAGGCCGGGTGGGAGGTTGAGGCAGCAGAGGGCCAGACAGAGATGAGAGGCTGAGGCAGAGGGATTACAGAGAAGTGCTGTTTGAAGTCTTGAGGAACATCCGGGCTGCCAAGGGAGGAAGCTATGCCAGGCGGAAGGAGAGCCGGTGCAAAGGCCCAGAGGCCTTACAGTGGGGCTCACTCGGACTGCAGGGAAGTCTGGTTTGAGCGGAGCAGTGAGAGAGAAAGCTGCAGAGGCCAGCACCAGCTAAGAGCACAAGGGCCTTGGGTACCAGGCTGTGGGGCTCAGGACCTTCCCTAGGGGCACTAGGGAGCCATGGAGTGCTACGAGCAGGTGACAGTTATAGTTAGGGTTAAGCATCATCTCCATGGGTGGCCCCAGGCTGCAGCTAAGGCAGGTGTAGGAGCAGGACCTGGCCCCGGCCTCGCTGTGAGCCCTAGCTGGGATGCCTGGCCCCTCCGATCCCTGCTTCTTCAGGGTGACAGTCACCTCTTGCAGATCTCATCGGCAGCCTCCTGGCTAAAAAGCTGCTGCTGCAGAACGTTGTTGAGGGCGTGGATGGCACACAGCTCCAGGCGCTGCCGCTCGTGGTACACGGAGGGTGGGCTCGGCCGTGCTCCTGGGGCCTGGGACATGCTGCCCTCCGCTCCTGTTGAGGGTTGGGAGGGGGAGAATGCTCAGGGCCTCAGGATCTGGAGGCCCACGGTGTGAGGTCCAATCTCCCAGGAGGCCCCTGGGCTCCCACATCGAGGTATGGGCTGGGGGCAGCCTCTGAGGACTCTGGGCCCGGACCCTGCTCCTGGGCTGGCTCTGGACAACACAAGGCACCTCCATCCCCTATTCCTAGAAAAAAGGTCTCTTCTGCTCACCTGACTTCAGAGAAACCCCTCCTCTTTCTAAGTAAAAGGGTGCCTATCACTGTCACCTAGCAACACAGGACCCTCCCTGTCACTGGGTTGCTAGGATCACTCTTTTCTTAGCAACAGAGGACACCCCCCCACACACACTCTGGGTACAAAGTCCCTCCTCTAATTACCTAGCAATAGAGAACGCCTCCTCTCCTGTTTCTAGGTAACAGGGTCTCTTTGGTCTCCTAGAAACGGAAGACTCCCCTTCCCCTGCCATTAAACAACTATCCTCTTGTCACCTGGCAACAGGGCACCCTCCCCAGTCACTAAGCAACAGTATCTCCTCTTCCTATCACCTGGCAACCAGGCCTGCTCCCGGACACCAAGTGCTAGACAACTTTCCCCTACCCGTACCCCGACCACGGCGCTTGCCCTTTTGCCTGGCAACGCCCCTCACCCCGCCTGCCTCTCCGCTCTCCTGAGCCGGGGGCTCCCGCATTCCCCTGGGCGGCGGCTCTGGGCCCCGAGTGCCGGGCGGGAAACACCGCGCTGACTGGGCAGGCAGGACGGACTACAGGTCCCGGCGACCGCCGCGCTCAGAACTACGACTCCCGACGGCCGCCGCAGGGTTCTTGCACTCCCCGGACAGTCCAGGCCACCTGGCCCGGAAGCGCGCTGTCGCCGCTAAAACATGCAGGACTACAACCTCCGCCGGTCCCTACTGCAAACCCCGGAAATGCGTCTCGGACACCCGACCCCACGGACCGCCACGCCCACTGTGCACAGAGGGTTCCGGGAAGTGTAGTTAGTAAGCTCTCGCGATAGCTTCCGGGAGTCGCGCGCGCGCGTGTGTGTCCGCCCACTGCGATGGCGTCAAGTGCTCTGAATGACGCTACGTGGCGTCACAGAGAAATAAGGACGCACAGTGGCCACGTGGTCTGGGGGCACAGCCTCCGTACTTTACTGAGAATGAAAGGAGGCTTGCTCTTGGAAAGTGCACCCCCGACAGGAGTGAGCAGAGGTGGGATGTGCTCTCTGGTGGAGGAGGCGTCTCAGCAGAGATGGATCCCTGGTCTGGAGGGCAGCTCGCAGCAGCCTGCGGGGGAGAAAACGGAATGAAAGATCGAGACCCAGGGAAGAGACTTGATGGGAGTAAGGGGCAGACCAGCGATGGGGGAAGGGGGCCCATAGTGACCTAGACCTTGAGAGAAGGGACGTGGGCAGAGAGAGACACAGATGAAGATTCAGGTGGTGGAGTGCGAAGGTTCTAGAGATCAGGAATAAAGGTCAGCGGAGAGGGAATCGAGCCTGGAACCCGAGATTGAGATCCAAGCTCCGCAGAACGCAGGAGCCTGGGCCCAGGAAAGGGACCTTGGCCTGGGAGTAGGGCCGCACCCAGGAGGCTGCGCCAGAAGGCAGCTACTGTGGCGGAGCCCGTTACAGCGCCTGGCTCCGCCGGGTTCTCCCGGTGCGTGTGCACAGAGAAATTCCGGCCTGTGGGCCCCGGGGGTCCTCTCAGCTCCACGTCCACCACGTGCATGTCCGCGAGGCTGCAGGGAGCAGGGCGTGAGGGGTTGGCTTGACGCAGCCAGCCCCCCACCCCACCCCCGCTCTTCTCACCTGAGATCCGCCACAAGCACCCCAATCACGTTGTCAAAGCCCAGGCTGGGCGCAGCCAGGGCGGCGGCTGCCATGGTGTTGGAGTTTCGGGGAGCAAAGGGGCAGAGCCCACGGACAGGGCCTTCGTAGAGCACAGTGCGCGGCCCGGTGCTGGGGACTGTAGCTAGGAGTCCCTCGAGTCGGAAGCCATCTGGGTGTGTGGCCATGGTGACTCGAAGGCTCTGAAAGCAAGAGTTGGTCAGGGGGGCTGGGGTCTTTGCAGGCCCCATCTGGTTTGGGGGAGCCCAGTGGGTCCTCACCTGGAGGCCCCCGGAGGCATCCAGTCTCGCGATGTCCTCAGTACCCCACAGGGCTCCTCCAGCCACAAACACGGCATGGCCCCAGCGGTGGGAGGCGTCCAGGAGCTGCTGCTGTGTGGTCTGGTCAGCCAGGGCTGATGGGGACCCCACCTGGGGTGCATGAAGGTAGGGAGGGTTGGGGATAGACTGCTGCTTAGGGTGGAACGGGACCAAGACAGAATGGGCGGAGGTCTGGGGATGGGTTGAGGGGGCTCACCAGGAGGTTGGCATGGCGCAGGACGTGTGCCCCAGATTCCTGGATTATTTTGGGATGGGCCACTTCCACCACCAGATCAGGGTGCCTGGGAGAGGGGAGATGCGGAGGGCCTGGGAGGGGGACCAGGCCTCCTCTCCCCCAGGCTCCCCCAGAGTGTGGGAGGGAACCCTGTCACTCCTCACCCTGGCCAGGGACAGGATGGGGGCGTGTGTGGCTCTCCCTGTTCCACATCTGGCTGAGGGATTTGCCTGATATAACACAGCAGCTCAGGGAGGCCACAAACGGAACTCCAGGACTCCACTGACCTTTCCCCAAGGGCAGCGAGGCTGTGGAGCTGCAGGGACGGGGGCACGCTCCCTGTCATGCGGCCCAGGTCACGGTTCCAGACAAAAGCAAGCTCAAGGCCCAGTTCAGGTCCGTGAGCCAGAAGGCGGGAGACGAGGGATTGACCTGGGGCCGGGAAAGGAGAGGGCTTGAGAACCAGAGGGGATTGGGGACCCAGAGAGAGGGAGACGGGGGACACAGATCAGAGAGGGGAACAGACCCAGAGGGAGAGGTGAGCCGATTCTAGGTAGGTGACAGAGACAGTGAAAGGCTCTGTCAGAGCTGGGCTTGTGGGGCCTGGGTGGGTCCGCAGGAGGCCCGTGAAGGCAAGAGACTCACCAAGGCGGCCGTATCCCACCACCCCCACCTTGCGTGGGGCCCCGTGGGCGGCCATGGCCCTGGGTCTGGCGGTCTGCTGCCTGGCCTCTTGGTGCTCACTGCCCCTGAGCAGGCTGGGCAGCCGCTGATCTTTGGACGTTTGACCCTTGGCCCTGCCTGAACCTCATTGGTGCCAGCAGTGGCCAGAAGTGGGCAGTGGGTCTCAGACGGCGTCCCTGGGCAGGGGCATGGTGACTTGGGGCTTGGGCGGCCCTGCGTGGCCCCTGCCTTCCCTGCTGTTCCTTCCTCTGCAGCCCACACTGCTCCACTCTGCCCTGCTGATGTGGAAAATTCCCTCTGCAGTCCCCCGCCCCCTTTTCTGGCTGGCCAAGTTGTCATGGAAACCATATCTTGCTTGGTGTGAGAGAGGAGCGGGTGACAGGGACTCTGGGCCTCAGCCTGTCCACTTGTTCCCAGGTCCCCAGCGCTTTCTCCTGTCCCGTTTTCTTCAGGTGGCCGTGAGAGGAGGAGGCCCCAGCCTGGCACTGCCCCTGAGTCTCCCTGAGGCAGCTCCCTGTGTCTCCCCCTCAGTGGGTTCAAGTCCCCAGCCCCTCGTATGGGGTGCTGCTGCACCCCTCAGCCTCAGCCGGACCCCCTTCTTCTGGTGTCCGATCGTCCTTCACTTCACCTTGACTCCATGTTTCACCCCTGCATCTACTACCACTGGTGCCCCCACCGGGTGTCCTTGCCCTCCCTCCACCCTGCCCCCCCACATCCCAGCCCTGTAGGGGTGCTGTACAGCCTGGGGAGTCCCTGAGTGCCCTCAGGAGGATCCTGGCCACCGCACTGGTAGGCCTGGCACGGAGATGGTGGAGCTGCGGCGCCCGGCTCCCTGCCCCCGCTGCCACCTGGTACCGCCACCGCCGCAGTGTTGCCATGGCAACCAGGATCCGCGCCGCCCCGGGCCAAGAGGAAGAATGAAAGATTGCTTGGCGGGCGGGTGACAGACCAGCACACAGGGCCTGGGACCCACGGTTGTGGACGGTGGTGCCGTGCTGGGCACAGATAAGGAAAGAGGAATTCTGTCTGAGAGGCGGGGGTGGAGGCAGATAAGGTGCTGGGGGTAAAGAAACG